AGTAAATGCATCAAGGAGTAATGCAGGATAAGTTAAAAAATTGTAATAATGATAAAAATAATGCAGAACAGTATAGATCTATTATTTGATATTTGATAAGTATATAAATATAGAAAATATCTAGATTTTACTAGAGTTGACCGAATGTTTTCCCTTCTTTGTGGTTTGGGGGATTTTAAACGGTTAGTTCCCAGTTAGCTCAAAATCCCCCATTCAGAGTCGATGGACACCCAGTGGTATGATACAGACAGTTCCAATATGTCGTGTCTTTCTGGCTGGTTTTTTGTTTGTGGTATATTGATAGTCAGCATGAGCCAATATTCTATCACCCTTAGTGTGAGGAATAAACTGGACTTGAACTTGGGCGTTTGCCATAATGGTTATGACCTACACTTCGTAACTTGATCTTAACATACCTGGCCGTGATTTTTGCTCACTTTAAGTAGCAGCAACAGATAGTTGATTATCAACACACGAATGATGCACGTGACAGGTAATCAAATCTTTTCTAGGGGATCACCAGAATTCAACTGTCTATTGCTAACTTCACCTTCTAAGCTTTTGAGCTAACCAGTGTTCACCTGTCAGGAACAGAGCCTAATCCCCTTAATCCTCCTAAATTTTAGAACTGAGCTAACTGGGGAGACCCCTTTTAAGGCTATTCAGTTCTAATCTGATTTTTTGGATTGCTTGTTTTCGTCTGAAATAAGGCACATTAATGTTATGTTACTCTGTACGTACCAACGTTGACATCTTATGGTCAGGCGTAGCCTGTTAATAATATAATGGATGTCTGTGTGGCAGATTGGAGCTGAGAGCCCCCTGGGTGTGATGTATATTCCCTTTTCACATCGTTGGAGAACAAACCAGTCCCCCCCATTGTTTGTTGGTTGATGGCTGGCTCCTGCATATTCCATAGACTTCCTTAAGCCAGTGTGTGGCAGTGACAGGGGAGACATGTTAAAAAACTTTGTTTAGGACAAAATGAAACGTTGAGTCTTCTTTTAATAGTAAAGTGGTGTTTTTGTTGTTGTAGGTGAATTTTTACAACATGTGTATGACCATCTATTTTGTGTTTAGGACAAAGTGATTAAATTTTCCAACTACTTTTTGAGCCGCAAACATGTCCACCAACTGCGAAGTGCATACTACTTCTTGTCTGTAATCAGCACTTTGAAAGATAACAAGGTAAGTCTCATGTCAATGAGCTTAATCATATTTGTTCTCTTTATGTATTTGAATAACATTGATAGTAGCGGAATGTTTACCCTGGGGATGTTATTATCCCCCGCCACGAAGTGGAAGGGGGATATAGGAATAGGTGCCGTCCGTCCGTCACATTTCGTTTCCGGAGCAGATCTTGAAAACCGTACCATATTTCTTCACCAAACTTGGCACATAGATAGGTCTAGTGGTGAACTGGTGCCTTTTGATAGTTTGGGATTTAAAAAAAATATATTTTTTGAGTTTCCATGGCAACAACTTTGATTTAGACTGAAAATGGTGGTAGTCCTCGTTTCCGGAGCAGATCTTGAAAAGCGTACTATATTTCTTCACTAAACTTGGCAAATAGATAGGTCTAGTGGTGAACTGGTGCCTTTTGATAGTTTGGGATTTAAAAAAAATATATTTTTTGAGTTTCCATGGCAACAACTTTGATTTAGACTGAAAATGACGGTAGTCCTCCTTTCCGGAGCAGATCTTGAAAACCGTACCATATTTCTTCACCAAACTTGGCACATAGATAGGTCTAGTGGTGAACTGGTGCCTTTTGATAGTTTGGGATTTAAAAAAAATAATTTTTGAGTTTCCATGGCAACGACTTTGATTAAGACTGAAAATGGTGGTAGTCCTCGTTTCCGGAGCAGATCTTGAAAAGCGTACTATATTTCTTTACCAAACTTGGCACATAATGTCATCTCACAGTATTGAATACATTTCCTTTCTTGTTGGTAAGTTCTGCATTGCTTGAGTGTATGTTCCTCCAAAAGTGTCATGGACACAGTTGTTGCATTCACTGACTAACTTCATACAGAAACACAACTCATTACAAATACAACAGTGTAACTGATCTTAAACCTACTCAACTGTATAAACAATATATATTCTTGTCAACCATACTCTATACTTCACTTGCTTGATAATGGTGTTAGAACCTACACCGAAACCTTCGCTCCCAATTGTAATAAAGAAGTTGTTCGTCCATATGTCTCATCCTTACTCATTACAAATTCAGTAACATATTCTATCATAAACTGCAGATAGAAAAACAACACCAGTAATAACTTTTTTTTAGTGCTGCAATTAGGCCATTTACAAAAAGGCCCAGTGAACATAGTTCACAGGAGATAATGCATTGCACACACCCGACATGTCATTGGCGGGGGATGTGAGTATTTCATGCTTGTTTACTTCTCTAAAATGACATGTGTTTCCGTTTTTATTTAAGCATAACACATCCGTGGTTATCCTGGGTTAGAATAGGTACCAGCAATCTATGCTTGTCTTATGAGGTGACTTGATGGAGTTGTCAGACTTGTTGACTTGGTTGATTGACGACATACCTGTTTTCGTGGGATGTTGCACTTAAAATCAAGCACTTCTTTGACCGGCCGAAACTCAATTAATTTGAGACAGCCCTCATGTAGCTGAAAACTTTCTGAGTGCAGTGTTAAACAACAAACAAATAAACACAGGGTTTTAAGTTGTCCTGGGTGTACAGGTTACTTGTTTTGACATCCCACCTCATTGATGACACCTTGCCTATCAATGTATCGTGGCTTACACTATTCACTCACTCAGGAAAGGATTTGTAATTATCCCCCGCCCCAATGAAGGTGGTGTTCGTTTCCAGAGCGTAACTCAAAACCCAATTCAATACTTTGTAACAAAGCTTTGCATGTTTACCAGACACAAATGAACTGGTGCCTTTTGCTATTGAGGAATTTTAGAATTTTTTATTGTTTGTTTCCATGACAAGTTGGATTTAAGTTTTAATATAGGGTGGGTTCACTTATGGAATATTACAAATAAACTGTTAAATATTTCCTTGCCAAACATTGCGGGTCTATATATACTGAACACCAAAAGAAACGCGAATCAAGAAGGTATAGGAAACATGATGTATTTTGTTTCAGCTGGTATAAACATAATAATGATGGATACAACACAATTCGTTAGCAATAAGAAAGAGTCAGTTCTCTGGACATCAGACATCTTCTGTATCCATCAACACAACACCATGTGACCATGCTGAAGTCAACTGAAGTATGGGTACACCTCAATACCTGGTATGGCCCCCATTTGCATTCACAAGCGCGACACACCGTCTGTGCATGGAGTGAATAAGACGGTTGATAGTGTTCATGGGGATGTGACGCCACACCTGCAGGATGGTAACCTCGAGCTGTGCAGCTGTCCCTGGCCTCGAACGCGCCCTGTCGAAACGTCTCTGCACTTCATCCCACAAGTGTTCAATAGGGCTGAGATCAGGACTAAGAGCCGGCCAGGACGTGGTGTTGATATTGTGCTGTTGCAAGAAGGCTTGAGTAATCCTGGCGGTGTGGGGACGAGCGTTATCCTGTTGAAATTGGAAGTTGCCATGTATTGCAAAAAACAGTACAACCTGGGACCTCAACACCTGATCGATGTAACGCTGAGCAGTGACACCATTGTCCCTCCAGCTCCAATGTTCTGAAAGATTACAAGGTCAGTTCTCTGATTTAACCCTATTCCACCCCAAACCATGACACTAGGACCACCCCTCGAGTTCCGTAGAAGGACACACTGGTCATGATAGCGCTTACCGCGACGTCGCCATACTCTAACACGTCGCCATACTCTAACACGTCCATCGGCACGATCAATACAATACCAACTTTCATCAGAGAACAGAACTCTTCTCCACTGCTGATGACGCCAATTCAAGCATGCTTGGGCCCACTAGTCTCAGGAGACGGTGACGTTGAGTGAGAACAGGACCTTGTGATGGTCGCCTACACTGAAGCCCTCTGTCACGAAGTCGCCGTCTTACTGTGTTGGAACTTAGAGCCCTCCCGTGGTTTCCAACGACGTTCCTAGCAGTTTCACTGGCCGACAGGAAATGTTCTTGCAGATGTGACCTGTGAATGTGACGGTCCTGACGTTGTGTTGTCACACGTGGTCTGCCGGTACGATGCCTGTCTCTGGTGCTGTTGGTTGTCTGGAATATTTCCTGCGGACGGTAGATGGTGGAAACGTGGACGTTAAAGGTGTTTGCAACTCTCTGAACACTCTCACCAGCTTGAAGTTGCCCAATAGCTCTCTCTCGATCGATCTGTAACAGTCGTGGCATTGTCACTGATGTTGATGAGTGAATTATTCACAGTGACACTTTCTTGGCTTTTAAAGACAACATCTTCGTGGACAGTTTTTTGCGGCATAAGCAGCACAAGCAGCACGTGCATTTCGTGCGTATCCATCCAACACTGACTTCAACGTCCGTGCGTTTGAGCGCTGTGGATTAAGAGTTCACTGCCCTTAACTCTGGTTAGGGTCATTTTGAAACAATTAAAGCCCATTACAATGGAACCATAGCAGCCAACTGTTTTCACAACCATTTTCCTATATTAAATAGGAACTTGAAGATTTCGTGTTTCTTTTGGTGTTCAGTATATAAAGCACATACTGAACTGGTGCCATTTGATATCAAGGTGTTATTAGAAATGTTTATTTTAGAATTTCAATTGCAGCTATTTTGACATGGGCTAAAAGAAATGTTGGGTCAGTTACCTGGTTTGGGACCATAACGGGTTAAAATGGTCGCAAATATAGGATATCATCCTGGAATTCATAGCTTATTTGGTGTATTTCTTTAGTTTGCTGTGTATAATTTAATTCATCTTGTCATTTTTTTAAGTAAAGAAAATGCAACCAGGAATTGACTTGCGTCAAGTATCTTTATGATTAAAGGAAAAAAACTTTAAATTTTATATTGATGATAAAAACTTGTTCAATCAATACCAAAGTTGACATCCTATGTTCAGGCCTAGCCTGTTACAATGGATGTCTGTGTGGCAGATGGGAGCTGAGAGCCCCTTGGGTGTGATGTATATTCCTTTTCCACATCGTTGGAGAACAAACAAGTCCCCCATTGTTTGTTGGGTGTGGGCTGGCTCCTGCATATTCCATAGACACTGGCAGTGACATGGGAGACAAAACATGCACGGGACATTTGTTTCCAAGATAACATGATATTTGAGTGAATGACTTTTTTTATAATGACTTGATAATCATAAGGTTTTACTTATGTAAATGACTTGGAAATATACATATATTGAGAATATTGACTATATTTCAGTATCACATCCCCATTGCTGTTACCCTTGCCAGTCCTGTTGCTGTCAGTCAGTCATCGTCCAGCATACAGGTAAGGCAGCTGCTCGGCTAAATGTCCTTCTTTCCACAAACTGACCTCAAGTCTGGCTTTCTCAATGAATGTTATGTGTTGACACACTTGTCCATTGTTGTATTACAGGTGCGTGTGACCAATCTGATGGGAGGTCTTCTGGGTCAGCTGACTGTAACCGCCGACAGTGCACGTCACTTGGGAGATGAGGCCATTGTTCTCAACAAGAAACCTTTCAAGGCCTCCTCCTCCGACAAGTCAGTGTTATATGTGTTCCCCATCTCACCTCTCCTGCTACATATTTGTTGACACACCTTCCATGCATTTCATACCTTTACTCCTCCTTAAACTTAAGGTACTGCATTTTCTTATGACCCAAGTTGAGATTGACCAATCGGAGAGCAGAACTACATGACCCCACATGAGCCCAAGATGGTTGTTACTGACCTAATATGAGACAGTATACCGTCAGTAACAGCCATCTTGGATATGCCAACACCCACCTCACATATTTCACATGGAAATTCTGGACTGAAATTTGTTATTTGACACTGTTTTGTGTTTTACTATCATTAATTGTGATGTGCAAGGACATTAATCTGTCTTTTAGATCGAGTTTGTGACTTTATTGATATTAATTATTTTTAAAATTGTCAGCAAGGTTTGGTCTCTAAGGTTTGAAGAGTTGTCAAGTTTTCATTTTGACATGACACGTGCGATATGGATACCAGAGAGTGTAAACTTTTCGGCTTAATAAATTTGTTATAGTGTCTTTAGTTACCATACGATGTCATATTAGGTTAGCAGAAAAATATTTGGCCTATAACTAGCATACCATCAGTAAAAGTCCAAGATGTCTATTCTCAAATGAGACCATATACCATCAGTAACAGCCATCTTTGATTTTCCAACACCCACCTCACTTATTTCACATGAAAATTCTTGTTTAGAAATTTGTTATTTGACACTGTTTTGTGTTTTTATATCATTAATTGTTATGTGCAAATACATACATATTTTTAAAAATCATGTTCGCAACTTTATTAATAAAGATAATAGTTAAAATTTCAACAAGGTTTGGTCTAAGAGTTGAATGGTTGTAAGTGTCAAGTTTTCATTTTCACATAGTGTAACTCAAGGTTTTTTTAAAAATATATACAGCTGTGAAGAGAGTTATGCATTATACAGGCAGACAATGAATTCTGAATATTCTTCCCAATGCAAAGACATGATCGTGAGCACGAAACGTGAGAAATACCATGTATACATCAACAAATGTGTACTGAAGTACATAAGTTCCTCCTGTTATTTCACTATCTGCTAAAAGTGTTCACCTGACTGAGAGTCAAGTGAGCTTATGTCATGGCCTGCTTTGGGACTCAACATGTATGTTCCGTTTTTCATTTCACATTTGGACCTTGAGTTGAATTGTGCCCTTTGACTAGCCTGACTATTTACTTTATGTGATACAATATAATACGATATAGTTTTGACTGCACAATATATACGAACTAGCTCTTTTTCCAAAACTTCAAGGATGCATAGTCAAGTGTGCACTATTCAAAAGAAATTAAAGTAAATCATGTTTACCTTACCTGATGCTGCACAGTGCTTTAGCTTCCCTTCCTTATACAGTGGTCCCTCGCTACAACGCTACCAATGGGGTCCAAATAATTGGTGGGCGTTATAGACGATGAGCTGTTTAACCGAGGCGGAGGCGGGGAAGCGCGCTCGGCCAATCTCACGATCTTCGCCTTGTCTCGCACATTGCAATGATACAAGTTGTTTACGGTTCATAGTGTAAAAAATATATCCATTATGTTTGTTATTATTTACAAGTCAATGTGAAAGTACTCTACTTACATGAAAATATCGATTGATAGTTGTAGTAACAGACGCTATGAGTGAAGAGCCAATCACAATTCATTACGCAAGTACAGCGTGTTTCAGTGGCATTGATTGGTCATGTTGCTTAAAATACGGAAAACGAGAGTTTATTACATGTGCGCATTCATACACATTCATACAAATAAAGATACACATTCAAGCCAGATTAATTGGTTTGATACGGTTACTTGATCCGAATCAAAAGGAATGACCATCGTGTTGTGACAGCAACTACATGTGAGTTGACAGTGTCGCCTCAAATTGGATTGCCCACTAATTAAGAATATGAACTTCGCTTGTGGTTCTCTTTTATTGCATGCATGCGCTTCTAAGATCAAAGGATGTATAGTGTGAAAAGTTAACTAGCAGAACAATTGTATTTCCGGGACTTGCCACGGATGTTTTCAAACAGATTATTAGAACTCCATTCAGCGATAAACAGTTGATTATGCAATGAGAAGCGTTATGTGCAAATGAACAACGAACAACAATACAATTATGTCTGTATAAAAAGTGTACATAAATTTTGGGAGCCATGCGTTACCACGCGTAGTAACCGAGGTAGCGCTTTATCTAAGAGCACAATAACGTGAGCCCCTTGATTAAAAGCATGAAAAGATTTAGAAAATATCTGTTGACAATGAGTGAGCGGTGCACATGCTTTGCAAATCCTGCAGTCGACAGAAATCTGCATGACACTTTACGAACCGGATTTCGATTTCAGTGCGCGATTTTGATTGGACTATGCATAGACTCGTTAGTCCAGCCAAAATGTAACTCCATAATACCAGCCTAGTTCGGCAAAGGTGGAAACTGAGCTTTTATAGTCAGTTGACTCACTTGCCTCGGGAAGATGCCTCTCCGTTGAATCTGGCCCCTCCGACTTCGAATCCGAATACGCCAACGATGGTTCCTTCGGATGCTCCTCCCCAATCTGCGCCATCTGCGCCGCTTGATTTTATGAATCCTACAGCGATTCGTGCCTTTTGGGAGCAACTACTTCAGCATCGTCCAGACGATCTGCTTTTGCCCCCCGTCAGCTCGGATCTTGCCAGCTCCCGCTTCGTCCCGCCATTCTTCTGGTCTCCGTCACCGATCTCATACTCCTGACGACTCAACTGCTGCCTCCACTTAGGTCAAGCGCCGTCGTCAGCTATCGCAGGGACAGTGTCACTAGTTGCCAACTCGGCCATCCAGGACTGTTTGGACAAGAATCCATCAGAGGCGAATGACCTGCTCCTCTCGGTCCTGGATTGGTATAACGTCAACTGGTTCATATGTCAACTTACATTCAATACTGGATCATTCACCATCACAAGACGTTCTGCTCTGCTCTGCTCAAGCAGTCCTCCTGGGATCCAGCGTTCAAGACAGAACTAAAGCGCCAACCTTGGTCTGGGTCAGCGCTCTTCAACGGCCAGATGACGACTGTTGCTAAGGAGTTGGGATACTCATCAACAACAGTTTTGACTCCTTAGCAATATGGACCGTCTTTCTTTTTCCTTTCTTCACAACTATCTCAGCAGCAAAAGTCATATGTTGGGAAGAGGACCAGTTTGAAGCGGAAGCCCTCTTCTTTTCCGCCCAAACGCCAGTCCCCCAGCAAAGATCGGTCCTCAAAGCCTCCCCGCCGAGGACGCTTTTCCGGCGGGGACTGGCGACGGAAGTGACTTTCTTCGGATGCCCGACAACTGGCAACTCCCATCGCTTGAGACTTCAGACCTACTAGAGGAATTGGCAGCTGCTCCAGGATCCGTTCGTTACCTGGATCCTCCGCCACGGTTATCGACTGCAGTTCCGTGCCGTTCCTCCTCTGACTACTACCCCCTTGGAACCTCCATATCGTGCCGGATCTTCAGGCCAATATCGATCTACTGATCGCCAAGAATGCAGTAGATCTCTTGGACACCGCATTCCATCTCTCCAGGGTTTCCATTATCTCGTGCCTCCGCCAAATTTCCAGATGATCTCCATCTGATCTCTGTGCCACCTCCTTCAACCGATGGACTACCTCATCAGTCTGGATCTCCAGGATGCCTACTTGCACGTTCCCATTCAGACAACACATCGTCGTTTCCTCCGCTTCATCTTCCGGGGCCAGCACTTTCAGTGGAAAGTGCTCCCATTTGGCATTTCCACGGCTCCTTGGTTATTCACACATATAACCTATCCCATCGTTGCGTTCCTTCATCGCAGAGGGATTCGGTTCCTTCCTTCGGAACGTGTGTGGCACATCAACAATCTGGAGTTGGAGGCGGTCATTCAGGCGATTTGTCATTGGCGCCAGATCCTCCGCAACAGCTGTCTCATGGTCACCTCAGACAACTCCACGGTGGTGTATTACATCAAGAGGCAAGGGTCAACTCGATCTGGAGCAGACCTTTCGCCCGTTTCATCTGGCCGACAGTCTTCCTCTTCTGATACGAGCCCGTCACATTCCAGGTTGTCACAATGTCTTAGCCCACTCCCTGTCAAGACCCGATCGTCCGTCCCCAAAAGAGTGGATGCTCCACATGGAAGCCTTCCGGTTCTTGTGCGATCGCCTGGGGACTCCCAACGTGGATCTCTTCGCAACGGTGTGCAACCACCAACTGCCGGTGTATGTGTCTCCAGTCCCGAACCCAGTTGCTTGGGTGGCAGACGGCCTGGCCCTGTCCTAGGTCGGCCTAAGCGCGTGTGTTTTTCCACCCAAAGTTCTTCTCCCCCAGGTGATTCAGAAGGCGACCCGGACCTGTCCTCTGGATCTGCTTTTGGTCGCGCCTTACTGGCCGTCCCGGATTTGGTTTCCCAAGCTCCTTCAGCTCGCAGGAGAGCCTGTGTTGCATCTCCCGGCATGGCAAATCTGCTGCTCAATCCTCACACCAGACAAGCACATCCAGACCCCGATGGTTACAGTCTGTCGTTTGGCGTATCTCCAGAAGTCACTGACTGCTAAAGGATT